CACCAATCTTACTCAGAGGATCATCTCTACAGCAGATTTTCGGTAAGAACAGAAAGGAATCGTCAACATTAACCTTAACACATACATGTTAATTTCTCGAAATTAAAAATAAAAATAAAAATTTGAATTGCATGTTTAGGAACAAACACATGAGCATAAACTACATTGCATGCATATGAGGTAGGAGCATATGGAAGGGCCTTACACAAAAAAGGGAATAAATAAAAAATAATAATTTATGTCTTGCATTTTCATTGCATCCGTACATCCATGCATTATACTCTCTATAGATTAGAGGGAGTCATGGAGGTCAAAACACTCGCAAGGAGCTCAACAACCAAGCAAGAGCCCTAGCTAACAAAAATAATAGAGAATGCTAGAAAATCCTCAATCTGGGGATCCATCACAAAACAAGGGGGCGGGACCCCCTCACAACAAAGATTCGTTTAGACACTTCAACAAGGCCGAATGAGTTCACACTCGATCATCAACAAAAGACAGTCTTCATAATACTCACATGAAAGGGGGCAACACCAGAATTCCTGTCAACCATCTACTTATTCGCCCATTAACACAGGGGAACATCAAGCACCTCCTGCCCAACCTCCTTGGGGCAGCATCTACCAAAAATCAAGTAAACCAATGAGGGCACCAACAATTTTCTCAAAATACAACAAAGGTCTAGAGAGACGGTACTCGCATCCCAATCCGGTATATGACAAAGCCGTGAGGGAAAGGTCTGGAGAGATGGTACTCACCTCCCAATCTAGTATACAACAAAGTCGTGAGGGAAAGTTTTGGAGAGACGGTACTCCCCTCCCAATCTGGTATATGACAAAGCCATGAGGGAAAGGTCTGGAGGGACGATACTCACATCCCAATCCAGTGTATGACAAAGTTGTGAGGGAAAGGTCTGGAGAGATGGTACTCACCTCCCAATCTAGTATACAACAAAGTCGTGAGGGAAAGTTTTGGAGAGACGGTACTCCCCTCCCAATCTGGTATATGACAAAGCCATGAGGGAAAGGTCTGGAGGGACGATACTCACATCCCAATCCAGTGTATGACAAAGTTGTGAGGGAAAGGTCTGGAGAGATGGTACTCACCTCCCAATCTAGTATACAACAAAGTCGTGAGGGAAAGTTTTGGAGAGACGGTACTCACCTCCCAATCTGGTATACGACAAAGCCGTGAGGGAAAGGTTTGCAGAGACGGTACTCACCTCCCAATCCAGTATACGACAAAGCCGTGAGGGAAAGGTCTGGAAAGACGGTACTAAAAAAAATTACTAGTGGGCCGACTGAAGCCCTAAATGTCAGTCCAGCCTAAAGAGGCTAAGCTACGAAAATACTCCATCTTCAACAAGCTATGAATAAATGAACGTACTATCACAAGAGAAATAATAGAGCATCTACTTGAAAATTGAAGATTACGTGTACAGTTTGTCAACCTTGTTACCCAACAGAGTACGCAACCAACACTCAACTACTTTAAAGGGCGACAATACGAGCAAATACACCTATCCAAGGGAAACAACGTAGAAGCTCCAGCACCAAAGAGACGAGGAGAAGACCCGGACGAAATATCTACATCTTTACTTGCCATTGGAAAAGTAACACAGTTATTCCAAAGGACAAGTAAAGAGGGGCAGCTATAGACACCCAATTTCGTCTGGGGGTATATAAACAAGGAAATGGACTTCCATTATCAAAGAAAAGGAGCTCCCAAGTAAGAAACAATAGGACATGACATCAAAAGGCCTAAAGCCCAAACAAGCTAGTTTTAGTAGCCTAGAATGGGCTATTCCAAAACTGGAACGGGCCGTTCCAAGTTCCTAAAAAGGCCTAAAACCCTAGTTTGGAACGGGTCATTCCAGCATAGTTTGTCATTAGTTAAATTCCAATCCAGAATGGGTCGTTCTGCTTCTAGAACGGGTCATTCCATATTCAAAATTTACTCTCAATAGACTAGTCCAGAATGGGCCGTTCCGAATCTGGAACAGGCCGTTCTGGCCACTTCTGATGGCTATAAATAACATACTCAGGCACTACTCTCGGGGCCAAAACATTTTGTCCAAGACTCCTTAGAGCTCGAAATTTCTCTTTCTCTATCCTCTATATTTCTTGAGATTTTGTGAGGAACATTGTAGTGTGTTAGGTCGCCAAAAAGTGCCTAAAGGTCTCCACATTTGAAGATCAAATAAAGCTCAAACAAGAGGTATTTCAGTCAACACTCCTCTCTCCTTCTATTTTCTTATTTTTTTAAATATTGTTGTAATAAAAGCAACCATGTAGACATTTTAGGGTCAATTGCTTAATTTAAATTTAAGCATGTAAATAAAAATTCATAAAGGGGACTAAATATTTAGATTATTAATTCTTATTATGTTATCTTCATCATAAGGTATCGATTTAGGACGTTGTAGGGGTGCTTAATACCTTCCCTACATGTAACCGACCCTCGAAACTAATTCTGGTTATGAAGGCCATTATTAGACTTTTAAAAACCTTTTCTTTATCCAATGTTTTGAGTAAAACATTGGTAGCGACTCCATGAACCTATTTTCAAAACCATTAATATGGGATTAGTCTGGTGTCTAAGCATTTCCTAATTGATGAGATTTTCGAACGAATGTCTAATCCATTAGTCATAAGATTAGAGATTTTTGGGTTACGACATTCTTTCTCTTCTCCAAGGTTGATATGATGTGAAGGATGATCTCTTCAAGGGTAGGGAAGTGGTGGATTTGGTGTTTGGGGAGGTGACGGGTGACGCACAAAATGAAGGAGAGAAATGGATGGTGTTTAGTGGTGTAGCTCCTTTAGGCTAACTCACTTTACTTAGGATGATGAAGGCCAACAAGGAAGACCCAAGCTCACTCAAGGAAGAGAACAGAGGGTAGGGGGCCATGGAGTTCCTAGGGGTCTAAGGAAAGAATAAAGAGGCACTAGGCTCATTCAATAGCATTAATTTCCAAAGTGACTACAAGGTGGGTGACCTAGAGTATTAATAGGGAGAGAAAGGCATCTAGGGTTTCTTGGGAGCATTTGGTCGAAATTTTGGAGTCCAAATGCACCCTAAATGAACCCTAAATGCATCCCAAATGAAATGGCTCCCATTCCTCCTAAAAGACTAAAGTACCCTTAGGTCTAGAAAAAGAAAGAAATGGACTTTGACCTCATAATTTAAGGTTTAAGTCCTATAATAAATCTTAAGATTAATTTTGCCTCATAATACAAAGGCTAAATATAAATACAAAATAAAATCCTAATATTTAATGTACCCCAAAATACAAGGGCAAAATAGGAAAAGAAAACAACAAACTAAGGAGAGAGCTCAAAATCCACACACATGATGATCATGGCTTTTGGTGTGGTGTGTTCTTCATCTTCCTCTACCCTCCTAGCCATGGACCTTGTAATAGGCCCTATATGATGCTTCAAGGATGGTCCTCCATCAATATACATCAAAAGTTCCTTCAAAATGAAAAAAAAAAACTACAATATATAGAGTTTAATTGGCTTATGGTGCAAACTAGACTAACCAAGGTTAAGTGTAACCATGGTTAGCTATATTGTACTTAAGCTAACTAACTCTAGTTAAATGTCTACAAGTCTAGTTAGTTATCTAGAAGCTTATGGAGCAAGCTAAGCTAATCCTAGTTTAAGAATAACATAGGTTAACTTAAGTTAACTCCAACTACTTATTCTACTCATTACAACTATTAGACTAATGAAGTTTGTTGTGATGTCATTAGCAAACCCATGTGACTTAATTTGTAGCTTAGATGGCATGCTTGGCATGGTTAATTTGGACATCTAAACCACTTACATGAGAATCTGGACATCAAAACCTATGGGCCATAAAAAGATTTTGGCCAT